TTGGTATTTTTGCTTTTTTTCTTCACTTACTCTCTCCTTATTTTCATTATACCAGTTTTGTTTATATTCTTTGACACTTGGTTCAATCATTGGCATTGTTCTATTCAAAGAAGGTTTCAATTCTTCAATTAACTGTCTTCTCTTTGTCTCGCTTCAAGAACATTCTTACAACATACTGATTCAATTAACACCATATCAAAATTATCAAACCCACCATTCCTTTTTATAAACGAATATAAATAGATGTTTTGTTTTTTACTGTTTAAATTTTGACAGTCATATTTGTGCTGTATCTTTCTATGCTTAAAACTGGTAGTGTGTCCTATATAAAAGTCTTTAACTTCTAAATCTCTACAAACAATTTTATAAATACAAGTATTAGAATAATCAATTTCTTTTTGGGGCATCAGGTATTGTAGAGTATTATAAATAACCCTTTAAACTATTATATATATAAATATATAAATATATAAAACAAATAAATAAATAATTAAATAAATAACTATTACATATAGATATATGGACATTGACAGGAAAGTTAAGATAAAAGTATTATTTCAAAATGATAGTATGAGAGAGAAAATTTGTTACTGTGGTTGTAGAATTACTAAGTTAAATAAAGATGAATTTACATTAGATAAATGTAATAATAAAGAATGTAATTTTAGTCATTCTAAATTTGATGAATATATTAAAGAATTAAAAAAACAAAGGAAAGAAGAGAAATTCCACAGACGAGTAGATAAGTATAGCAAGGCACTGGACCTCGTAGCTTGGGGATTATTATGGCCTATTTTAATTCCTGTGAGTATTTATTATTATATTATAATCTAAAATAATAATATATAAATGGGTAATTCGAACAGTAATGTTGAAACTTCAAGTATTGATAAAATTAATGATATTGATGTAGAACAATTAGATTTAAGTAATATTGATAAATTACAGTTAAAAGCAATTAAACAAATGAGTGAAAGATTAGAAAAACTGGAGAAAGTAAAATGTGACAAATTAATATATAAATTACCAGCATTAAATTTGTGTAGTTATAGTTTGTTCTGAATTAATAATATTAAACGTTATTAACATTATTAATTAAAAAAATATGAATAAAATTTACTAATAAAACTTTGTCTTTCATCATTGATGACTTTAATAGTTATTTGTTTCACTTGTAATGAAATAAAATTAACCATATTACGGCTATACATTAAATTAGTTTCATAAAGGTCTTCATTAAGAAAATAATAAATATCAAATAAATTATTTGATGTTAAAGTACGATTACGAACATGATTCAAACAAGTAAATGAGGTAGATGTAGCTAATATATCATATTCAATTAATAATTTTACTGGTTTATGTTTTTGATGTAATTTATCTAACTCACTTAAGTTAAAAATATATGATATTCCATTATTAATATTAATATTATCAATTTCAAAATAATGTGTATTCTTTAATTTGTAAGACTTATACACTGGTTTAAATTTATTAATATAATTTTTAATAATATTATTATTATTTTATTTTTAATAATCTAACATCACCTAAATTATAAGATAATACAAGGTTTTTAATGTCTACTGGTAAATCATAAAATATCATATAATATTAATATATTTATTTATTTAATTAGTAATTTTCAAATAATGTGAGAAGTTTTTCATAAAGATACGGTTAGGGTCTTTTTGGAGAAGGTTAATATATAAAAAGCTATGCGGTTCATCAGTTGCAGTCTCATATATTTTATAAATTAGTTTCTTGCTTTCTAGTAAATTATCACTTCTAACAATTGCTGATAATTCATCTTGTAATATTTCTATCTCTTTGAAGTTTCTAACTTTATAATAAAACAAATGACTTATATTTACTCTAATAATTGGTGGGACACTTGATGATTTCTGAAGACTGACAAGCGTTGATATTCCACTATGACGTCCCCTACAGAATAAAGAATTTAACAATTTGTTATTTCTTGTTATTGCTGGGTTATCAGATACATCATCCAAAATTACCAAAATATTAAATAACTTCTTCATTCCTTGTTTTTTCTGGTATTCAATTATTTTATTTTGAGTTTCTATAACTCTTTCTAAATCTTCAACATTGAACTCATCCCACCAACACGGTTCTTTATCAGTATCTACTTTCAAACCTTCTTTAATGTATTTTTTGACAGGCAACCAAATACTATCCAAATTTACAGATGGGGACCAGATAAAAATTCTTTCGTATGCACCTCTATAAATATCAAGTATCATTGATACAAGTAGGGTGCTCTTTCCAGAACCAGACGGGCCTACAATCATAGCTCTCATAGGCAATTTAGGGACAACCTCGTGCTTACTTTGTTTAAAGTCATATTTGATTTCATCAATTGGTTTTACATCAGGCATAATAAAAGTGATATTAAAGACATTTAGAAAATAATTTAATATTTATTATTTTATATGAATAGAAGTTATTCAGATTATATTGATATAATAGATGAAGTAGAGAATATAGAACAAGTTGTTATAACTAATAATAGATGTAAAAAAATATGTTATTTTGTTTTAGAATTAATTAAGTTTGTTATACAATATATCAAAAATAAAAATGTGAATATTAATATAAATGGGAAAAAAGAAAAAGAATAAGACTGAACCAGTTGTTTCTTCAACTGATGAAGAAAAAGAAGAAATTGTTAAAGAAACATCAGTTATTGAGTTTGCTTGTCCAATGTGTAAAAAGATGTTAGAAATGAAGAATGAATTAGAAATACAAAAGAAAGGAAACTGTAAATGTTCGTGTATTCCAACCAGTTTCAAAATAAGTAAGAATGATAAGAAAATGAATATTGATAAAACTAAAGACAGTATAAACTTAGAAACAGATGTTCATAATATTGCTATCAAATGGGGAAGGCATGCATCACCATCCGATAATGGTGATAAGGAAACTCAGGAAACTATAAAACAAATGATGAAAAATTAGTATTTAAAGAGTAGATTTAACATAATTGCAACATTTAGTTTTAAAAGTTTAGTTTTATAATTTAGTATATATTTACATGGATGAAGGATTAGATAAGATTGTTAAAAAACTGAACAAGGTTTTAGAACAGAATAAGAATATTTTAGAAATCTTGCAAGAAATGGAAAAGAAGAAACCATTAACAAACAGTTATCAAAGTAAAGAAGTAGATAGAACCAATGGGGAATATAAAAATAAAAGAAATATTTATTTAAACAAGCTTAATAACAAAGAAATTAAAGAACCGAAGTCTTCCACTATGACATTTTATCAGATTGACTATGATGAGGAAACGCAACTTTATTCATAAAGTTGTATTTACTCATTGAAAACTAAACATAGTTTAGTTTTTAACGAGGAAACAGGGATTTTTATTCATAGATAATATTATCTAAATATCTTTAATAATGAACTTATTAGAGATGTTTAGCGGAACAAAAAGCGTTGGAACCATAGCAAAGTCGCTTGGATTTAATGTGATATCATTAGACTTGAAAAATGCTGATATAAATACTGATATTTTGAAATGGGATTATAAACAATTTGATAGGAACCATTTTGATTTTATCTGGGCAAGTCCTCCATGCACGGAATATAGTGTAGCAAAAACTAGGGGCATTAGGAATATCGAATATGCAAATAGTATTGTCTTAAAAACTATTGAGATTAGCAAATATTTCAATCCTAAGTATTTTGTAATCGAAAATCCCCAAACTGGATTATTAAAAAATCAGGAGTTTATGGATGAGTTTGATTTTAAAGATGTAGATTACTGTAAATATGGAATGCCTTACAGAAATAGAACTAGGCTTTGGAATAACATTACAACTTGGAAACCTAGAGATTTATGTAAAAAGGATTGTGGCAACATCAGGAATAATAAACATATTGAAACTGCACAACGGCTTCCATCGGGCACTAAGGAAAATTGGGGAGACAATCCAACAATACATAAACAGGAAGATTTATATAAAATACCTAGCGAATTAATTTGTGAAATCTTAGTGAGTTTGACGGATTAAGGATTAACATAGCTTGATTTTTGGATTAACATAGCTTGATTTTTGGATTAACATGGCTTGATTTTTGGATTAACATAGCTTGATTTTTGGATTAACATAGCTTGATTTTTGGATTAACATAGCTTGATTTTTGGATTAACATGGCTTGATTTTTGGATTAACATGGCTTGTGAAATGTGGTGCTATAATTCTTAATCATACTATAATAATAACATGTAAAATCTTATATGTTATAATTATACTGTACTTATGGTTTGTAAAGATTGAAATATTTTATTTTTCTTGATTTGGTTATCTCTTTCAAAGTGCGTTGTTTGAACTTGGTATGCTCTTTTGATTTTTTCGTGCTTTGGCTGTTTGTATTTTATTTTGTTTGATACTCTTCTGATATTTTTTGATGGTATGTTGCTTTGTTTTTGATTTTGTGTGTTTTTGAGTTTGTGTTCTTTGATGGTTTTTATTTTTGCTGTTTTGTTGGTATGCTTGTTTGAATTATTTAATGTTGTATGCTGTGATTAAATATTTTGTTGGGGGTTGTTCTGGTTTTTGAGTTGCTTGGTGGTTCTTATCTTATTTTCTGTGAATTTTGCAGATTTTGTTGTATGCTGTTTGATTATTTGGGTTTGATGTTAGAAGTGCCATTTTATGTATTTTTCCCCTCCCTCCCCCCCCTCCCCTCCCTCCCCTCCCTCCCTCCCCTCCCTCCCTTCCCTCCCTCCCTCCCTCCCTCCCTCTCCCCCCTCCCCTCCCTCCCTCCCTCCCTCCCTCCCCTCCCTCCCTCCTCCCCTCCTCCCCCTTCCCCTCCCTCCCTCCTCCCCTCCCTCCCCCTCCCCTCCCTCCCTCCCTCCCTCCCTCCTCCCCTCCCTCCCTCCCCCTCCCTCCCTCCCTCCCCTCCCTCCCCTCCCTCCCTCTCCCTCCCCTCCCTCCCCCCAGCCCCCTTTTTTCAAGGGCACAACGGTCCAGCACGTCGATCTCGCCGCTGCAGGGCCACGGCCCGTACTTGCCATTGCCCTTGGAGCTCTCTGGCAGCAGCCACCTGGGTAACATGCTGCCATAAGTGGAGGAAACCAATTTTTTGTTGCTTGTTTCGATCATATGCTTAAGCGTCCTAAAGCCGGAACCCGCTCAAAACTCGGGCGGACTCTTGGCATCGCAGCCATGATCCCAAAAGAACAAGGCTCCCGGTGGCTTAAGAGGCTCAAGTAGCCGGATGTGGCTTCTAAATCATGGCTGTGATTTCAAATAAAAGGCACCCCCAACTGAACCAGTTACCTTCCCCGGTCTTTGTCCCCGTCGCCAAAGTTTCAGTTCAGCATGCCGCTGCTGCCCAGTTGCAGCGCAGGCCACACGCTGTTGCACTTGGGCACTTTGGCAGAGAAGGTGAAGATTCCTTGGCCACACATGCGCCAAAAGTGAGCACCTGTGAGTCCAACCGGCGCTTGCCAAAGGCAAGGCATGGTTTCAAAAAGAGCCCAGGCAAACTAAGTTACACCCGCGGTCAGGAACCGTGGTGCAGACGGGTAACCGTAGGTGAAGGCATCTCTGCTCATCACTCTTCCTGCACTCGATTTACGCATCGCCCGTGCCATTCACGCATGGATTTGCTTGCAATGTTTCAGACGGCAATGCGCAAAACTATGTGCAAGCTGCTCTGCAAATCTCCCAGGCCTGAATTCAAGCACCTGCTGTCCGTGCAAGCTGAGGACACCTTCAAATGCAGCCGGCCATTGCTGGTGAAGGCCGTTGACCCATCATCCACGTAGTTGGCACAGGAATGGGTCATGTTCTGGTCCGGGATCCTGAGACGCCAAATTCTTCGGCTTTTGGCTTGAAGCAATCATCCTAGAGGTACATGTGGGTCTTCGAAGCCATGTGATTGGGTTCACTCGAGCAACGCCTGGAGACAAAGCAGTCCAATTGTACAGGTGACCCCTCTTAAATTCTGAAGAGCCCTGCTACCATGTCCCTAACCCGAACTCCGATCGGTAGCTCCCAAAGGCCCCGGGATAGCCCTAGCTCCCAGTCCGAATCGCTCCCTTCCAACCAGCTAGGGGCCTCTTCTACAAAATGAGGCCTTCACCTGCTGATTTCCAGTTGAGGCCACCCAACTCGAACCCAAGGCGCTGCACCACGTCGAACTCGCGCTTCACATCGCCTCCGGTCTGGGGACCCAAGCTGGGAGGGAATCGGCGCAAAAAGGAAAAACGTGAATACAAAGAGCGGCAAAGGCCTGGAAAACGAAAGGGCGGCTAAAACAATCTGATGGGTGGGACTGGTCCGCTGGTCCGCACCAACTGTCAATGCCAAGTTGTTGTTGTGTCCAGGGTTGCGCTGAGGATTTCAAGAAAAACTTCCATCAGAACATTCGAACCTTCGGCACGACTCGAGTTTTGGACCTCATCGTACCTCTGACCCTTGGCTCAAGGCTGCGTCCCATCGGCCTCCAAAGTCAAAGCGCTTGATGAGCGTGTATGCCTGGCACATGGCGCGCAGGACACGGGCATCTGGCCCCACTAACTCGGAACATGGCAACGATGGTAAGCCTGTGGATCTCTCGACATGTTGCTTTGGCGCGAGAGAGCAACAGGCAGCGTCTGACGCATGTTTGCAAATTTGGGTCTGTCTCAAAGTTAGGGGGACCCTCCCAAATGGTTGCTTGCCTTTTGGCTTCCCTTTCACCCAACCCCCAAAAAAAATCCCTTGAAAACAAAACACCCATTTCGACCCCCCGCACGCCAGCTTCCTCTCACATCCCAGTGTCCAGGAGTCCAAAGCCGGGCCTTCCGGAGCCTGTGGGACCTGGCCTCCGGGCGTGCGTCGATAAAAACGGCGGGGTCCAGGTGCCGTGGTTTTTTTTACTCCAGCTACCCGCGGTACTTGGGAATTTTTAAGCCGCTTAAGAGGAGACTCTGTAAACATGCAGGCTTGCGGAATGGAAAAAGGAGTCGTCCATGGTGGTGCTTGGTCCTGCATGCTTATTGAATGACAAGTGCTGAATGGATCATATTGGCTGGGGACTGCCACAGGAAGAGCAAAAAGCCGTTTCGGTTCCTTTTACGCCAAATGGACGGAAATGTTGACAAAGCATCTTCCGCTGTGAAAACCGGCCTGGCCATCAAAGTGTTGCGAGCAAACAAATGCAGGACAAACTCTGTCAGGGGCGAGAGTCAATACTATTGCATGCTATGCATGGGGGCGTTACGCGGGGCACGCAACGGTTGCATGATCAGAGTTTGTGCGGACAGAGCAGAGGGCTACATCACGGTCAAAAAAGGTGAGGTCATTCCCTCATGCCAGGCCCTATTTGCCCAAGGTCCCAAGTGGGAAGAAAACGGAGCCCGATTTCTGGCCACCCCGCCATCACAGCCCCAAACGTGGGGAGATCATAGCGATGTGCTGCAAGTTCATAGCCCGTGCAAGCCAATGCAAAAGGCCAAAGATCCAACATAACATGACAAGCATCTTCCAAATCCCGAGGCAAACCCCTGCAAAATCCACCACATGAAAATGAGTCAAAACCAGTGGGCACCCCTTGACACACTGACCAAAACAAACACATCCGCTGCCTATGTTGGGAAAAATATTTGATTGGGGACCATTGCATATCCGCAACCCTCTTGGAGAGCGTTCCCCGTTCTAGAATTGGTGTGTGCTGTTTGAGGGTACCATTTTGCTTGGGCAGTTCCAGTAACCACCATTTTGGGGAGTCCAAATCCCTAGACCCATTCAGAAGTCCCGTTCAAGCCTTGAGTCGAGACCTTGTGGAGTTGCCAAAGTGGGACTCCGTGACGTTCGGCCTGCATTTGACTCGATTGCGGCTGATGTGTTTGAATAGAAACAGCTGAACACCGTGGCAGTTGAAGAAATAAAGAAGCTGCCACCTGCGGAAATCAGCCGAAGTCCATGATTCAGAAAGAAGCAAAGGAACAAACAGTCACCCTTAAAGAATGTTTGCCCTCTCGCAAATGGTTGGCTTCTTTTTTTTCACTCCAAGCCACCTCAAAACGAGTTCCCCAGTGACACACTTTCCTCAAATCACTGTGGACTCCGCACAAAGCCGCGCAGTTCGACGCCTGGTCTTTGCAGACCCCGACAAAAATGAACAAGGCCAAGGAAGCCAAAAAGCAAAGCTTTTGCCAGGAAGATGGGGGCTGAAAAAACAACATTGATTGGGTCAAAATCCAAATCGTACCCCCAGTGAACATCCCAATCCCCACTAAAATCGACTAAATGGGTGGTGAATTCACCTACCCCAAAATGGGATCCCAAAACGCTTTTGACCACAGCCGTTTCTTTGTTTCCTTGGGCTCGTTGGGTTTTGTCTTTACCGCCTGCCGCGCAGCTTCGAGCCCGCGGAAGGCCCGCAGTCCTGACTGGCGCGACGTGCGGCCAGAAGACACCGGGCCTTTGGGCCTTTGGTTGCTATACATTCAAAAACAAAGTAAATGATAAGAAAAGAACAGTAATAATAAGTAATTGTTAAATAAGATGAACAAGAATAAAAATGAATTTATCTTTTGCCGCAAATGGCCAACCATTGCTTCAGCTGTTTCAACATGGGACTCGTCAGCCGTTGTCGGAGCTCCTTTTGGTCCCCTTCGGGAAGTGTGTGCATCGAAGTGACGCCCTGAAATTGGCCTGAACAATTGTCCCCGACCGTGTCGCTAGATCACGATGGCATTTGGTTTTTGTCAGGCCTCAGTATACCCTGCTAAGCTGGAAACTAGGACCTTCTGCCAACATGTCAAAGAAGATATTTGGGCGATGCCCCATTGCCAAAGTGTTTGCAGGAATTAACTGGACCAAGGTTTCAAACACCACGCAAAGCGAGCCGGCTACCCTCCTCCGGAACGGCACAGCCAGCCCATGACCTCGAAAAGGCATGCGCCAGCGAGAAGTAATGCACGTTTCAAACGGCAGCAGCTTCCCTGGTGCATGCCGCTGTCCGACGCTTTGCTTGGTGTCTCCATATGATCCTCCAGAATTCGCAAGATTGTTCCAAGCAGGTACCCTCCCACCAACTAACATGGAAGGGGAGTACAACATGGGTTCTCAAAGTGACATGGCTCAGGGTCTGGCAACAGGACGCAGCTTGGAAGAAGAGCGAGTCGCAGGCCGAGCGCCATCTCAAAATGCAGCGAAGGGTCTGGAGGCAAAGGGCGATTTGCCGCGCTGGAAATCTGGCAAGTGGCAAGTAGTTTGACCTGTCACCCTCACTTTGCCTCCGCTGCGAGCCAAGCCTCGAAAAATGAGAAACATCGCACAGCTCAAGGCAACTCGTCTCCAAGCGCAACATCCTTGAAATTGTTCACACGCCCCCTAGAGCGTGCGTGGTGCCACACATTCTTTGCGTGGCCACTAGGGTCTGGCGCCCTGAAATTTGCGACACCTCGCACCCGGCCACTGAGAGCTCGCGCTTCAAGTTGCTCGCTCTGAAGTCCTTATGGTTTACCCACAGAAAGTCTGACTCCGATCTGCATCTACCTAATCAGACAGGCCCGTCCATTGGAGGGTCTCCGCTGAACGGTTTTGGACCTCAAGAAGGATCCGAGACTTCTCTGAGACCCAAAACTAAAGTAACAATAAACCACAAGTAAACCAATGATTTGCTAGTACTTACAAAGTTAAAAATATACTTTCAAGTCGAGACATTGAAAGCGGGTGAGGTTGAAAGTCCTTTCTCGGAAGTGAAAGAGTCCAAGAACTGTACTAATTTGTCAACTTTCATAATTCTGGGTGCGGGGTGTATTGAAGGGTACCCCCCTGTACTTAAGCAAAAAACTACATTCTGAACGGCTGCAAATGGACTCAGGCAGAAAATGTGCATAATCAAAGGTAGGCGCAAAATATCGCTCAACACCCATGTCCTCCAACACATCATTGAGGGCACCCCTGACTCAAAGGATGTGGGATCAAGTAAGCCGCTGTCACCCCTCAATGTGGGCTGCAAGCTCTAAATCAGAATAGGAGACGTAGCCAACCGCGAATCCATCACATTGCCGACAACATGACAAAATTGGGTGACAAAAAACAAGAGCGACCCATGTGTAATCGACTGCGTGTGCGCGGGCCTAGCGCTAACTGAACAGAGAAGGTTGGCCACCTTCAGAGACGGAGAAGCCAGACCTCCACAAACCCTGTGGGCCACTGCAGATTTCTTTGCCCGAGAAAAAAATCTTAGGTGCAGGGGGTCAAATTCCTTAAGTACCCCAAAAAATCCTTAAGTACACCCACAATTCCTTGAATACAGGGGGGGTGTACTTAAGCTTTTTTAAGCCGCATAGGTGATTTTGTGGGTGTACTTAAGGGTTTTGCCTTAGGATTGAGGGTGGCTTGCAGGTTCTGAGGCCAGACATTCCTTAAGTACACCCACAAAATCACCTACGCGGCGCCCAAAAAAGCTTAGGTACACCCCCCCCTGTATTTCAGGAATTGCGGTTGTACTTAAGGAATTTTTGGGTGTACAGGAATTTTGGGGTACTTAAGGAATTTCACCCCTGCACCTAAGAAGTTTTGCTCGGGCAAAGAAATCTGCAGTGGCTCCGTCTCTGAGGGTGGCAAACATTCTGCACACGCAGTCGATTACACATGGGTCGCTCTTGTTTTTTGTCACCCAATTTTGTCATGTTGTCGGCAATGTGATGGATTCGCGGTTGGCTACGGCTCCTATTCTGATTTAGTGCTTGCAGCCCACATTGAGGGGTGACAAAGGCCACACGTCACACAATTTGGGCGTGTGTACATGAGCTAACACGTGCAAGAATTATGGGGTGTTTTGGCTTGAACTTCATGCCACCAAGTGCACAACATATCGAATCTGTTATTTTTGAAAAAATTGATTTCTTTGAAAAAATAGATGAACATGAATGTCGCCCGACCGGCGGTGGCTTAAATACAGGGGGTGCGTATAACAATAATTATGAAAGTTGACATACTAATTTCCAGGCACATAACCATGGCCACTGCCTACCAACAGCATTATGTTTGAACCTCGCCCACAAAAGTACAACTCATCTTCGCAACAATTGGGGTTCCCTGGTCTGGCGGTTGACAATCTGCATTTCTGCGCGAAAGCCAGCTTTGTCTTGGCACCAAAGGCAATCACCAGAAAGCAAATCTAGCCAGTGGGACAACACCGATCGAAAATTCACAGAGACCCCCTTGTTGCAAAAGTGTTTGAATTCCAGCTTTGTTCTCCGTCTTCCAAGTTCGGTCCATCGTGAGTCTTTCATAGTGACAGGAACTCCAGAAATTGAATGGAGTGAGATGATGGAGTGAGAGGGAACGGTAAAGCGGGCGGAAATGATGGATGAAAAAGACCTGCCATCATTATCCACTTCCCTTCCTCTTTCCTGCTTCTTTCTCTTTCTTGTTTCCTCGCTTTTTGGATTGCTTCGTCAACAGGAAAGAAGCGAGACAAGGAAAGAGGAAAGGACTAGCATTAGATTGAGGATTATTTTTCCTAATCAAGAGATTTCTACCGGAAAAATCCTCAATCATATGCTGTGTCTATAGGTGAGTCTTATCACTATTTTTCTGCCAATGGGAATGCCAATGCACTGACGAGCACACTGGCATCACAAATCTGATATATAAAGTTGTTCAATCGGCTCGAGTATCCACCACCATGCCCAAAATGCCGCCGCCTGCTCGCAGTTTTCTTCCTCGCTTCGCAACTTCCAAAGCCTTCTGAGCGGCATATTCCCGCCTCTCACCTTTTGAGGGTTAAGGCATGTTGCACTGCTCCTAGCTTGAACCCAAACATGAACCCCCAAAAGAACAAAGCAAGTCCGAAGCGGCCGCAGTTCTTTTTACCGGGATTGCTGAAAGTAGCACTGCTTCCAGGGCACTGGTGCGCCTGGAACAGGAGGTGCGTTGACCCCCCGTGAAACTAAAACGACAATGCGTGTCCTTGCAAATAAATGCAGTGCTTGCAGGGCGTGGCATGCGTGCCCGCGCCCAAGGTCCGGAGACTGAATGGTCCGGAGACCAGAGTTGGTCCGGAGACCTGGTCCGGAGACCAAGAGGTCCGGAGAGCACCAACGAAAGTGCAGAGCGTCTGCGACCTACACTTGCAGAGCCTTGTATAAGGCAGTGCAGGGTGGGTGGGTGGGTTTCAAATGAAACCGCAGGTTTGGGTCAAGGCTAGGAGCAAAACGGCCACCGCGTAGTTCGATTCACAACATGCCCTAAACACAAGGGAAAAGAAACCCTAAGCGTTAAGGCATGTTGCACTGCTCCTAGCTTGAACCCAAACATGAACCCCCAAAAGAACAAAGCAAGTCCGAAGCGGCCGCAGTTCTTTTTACCGGGATTGCTGAAAGTAGCACTGCTTCCAGGGCACCGGTGCGCCTGGAACAGGAGGTGCGTTGACCCCCCCTTCAGTGTTTCAGGCAACCCCGGTATAAGCGAGCCAGCTGGGCCGCCGGCCTCATCACCCGCCCTTCAGAGCGGGGTTGTACCTGGCAGGGCAAATGTCCGCGTGACAATGCGCGCTTGCGGCTGTGAGCAGCCTGTTGCTCAGGGTCT